GTTAAATAGTCATTGAAAGTCAGGAAGCACTAGACAGTTGTTTCATCCTCGTGTGAAACTCCTCGATTGTCCATATCCACTATCTGACCAGTAATTAAACTGAGAACCTTCAGACCCTGCGACGAGCGTTCAACCACTGGGCTTGCATCTAATGGTTGGGATTCTTGATCAATTTGAGATACCGTAAAATCGCTTAGCATTGTCTTCGATAGATAAATGTCTTAGAGTGAAACACCGTTAGCCATAGGTTATCACTGGAAATGCGTAAATTATTTGCAAAATTAGTCACTAGTGAGAAAATTATCATTATGAGCGTAAGGGTTTGTGTTGCGTAAACTTAAGTTAATTAGTCTAAATTTGTTTATAATGACTTACTTTGAATTAATATTTTCCATGTAATCTTTTTGTTTTCTAGTTATCACCACGTGATACAAGTAATTTCGATAGTGAATTTACAAAAGTCACTCCGGAATTATCACCAACTGATAAATTATTTGTTATGAATTTAACTCAAACAGAGTTTAGTGGATTCTCTTTTGTTAATCCGGAATTTATTGTTGAAGTATAAGATTTTGATTCATTCTTAGTATCTTGTTTGTTTGTTTCCTCCCTTCTATGTATTACTCTTTGAATTTCATTGTGAATAATTACTCATTTTCAGCATACCTCTATGTTCTTTTCGGTCCATCTATTTATTTATCCATTGTTCCTTACTGTTTTCTTCCGTTCTTTAAATGCATTTATTCATGGCAGTGTTAGTTCTGTTGTATACAGAGAGTTTGTTTTTATTATGTGAATTCACAGTGTGTGTATGATGTATGTATGCGTGATCGTTACTTTGAGTTTATGAAATAAAAAAATGCAAACAATGAAACCAAAACAATGGTAAATATATATAGGAATGTTGTCACTAGCTACCTTATTGACATAGTTGCCATGTTACAGGGTATTATCAAGTGTTTCTGTGTTGCATTTTTGGTTTGTTCATATACTTGTCAACTTCAACTATGGTGAATTTATGACTAACCGACTACTTTTCATTTATATATACATATATAGATAGATTCATACAGGAAATGTATTAGTATAAGATCATATTCTTAGTATTGGATGTGTTGGCGTTAATTATTTCACAATTGTTGTTCGTTTTTAATGTTATTTGTAAATTTGTTAAAGTTTTATTTTTAATTAAGAATCTTTTTACTACTTTTCTTTTTCTTACTCTGTGTTTGCTCATTTTTATTTTAATGTGATATAATTCTTGTTGGAACTATATTTATTATAATCGATTTACTTTGTACTTGTTTATTTAAAATACATTAGGGATACATTAGTTTCCTTTACATAGACTTTTTTTCATTTTTTTTTTCTGGATTAATGTGAAATTCCTACTTTCTGTTACTGACTTGGATGTGCAATAAATATGATGGTATATATGAATGTGAAAAAACAAAACATTCCAATTATGAAGTACTTTTACTACTATTAATATATAGTAGTATGTGCAATGTTACTAGTATCAATAGCAGTAGTAGTGATAGCATCTGAACTAATGTACTTGCTGGCTAACCTGATCATCAATAATTTACTTAAATTTTTTATGTATTACACTAATTTAACGTATAATTTATTTTGAAATTTTTTTCATCCATTTTCTTGATAATGTTTAATTTTAGTCAAATTTAGTTGTCTCCGTGTGTTGTTGTCGTTGTTGTTGTTTGTTTGTTTCGTTTTCATAACATCTGCATTGGTCTTTCTTCTTCTTTTCCTTCTTCTCATCTCTTCCTGTATCGGTTTATTTTTCTTTAGTTTTGTTTCTTTTATCATGTGCGTCGAATATAAAACATTGAACACTTCAATGAGATTCTCTGTTGTTTATTATTATTGTTCGAATGAAAGCTGGTTTAAGAAAAATAAAATGCCAATTGAAATCAATCACAACAAAGACATGAGAGTTTTGTATGTTTGTAAGGCAGCTGTTCTCTTCAATTTTTCTCTTTTTTTGTATGTGTACAAACAAGTTAGCGATTATGCACGTTTATTACATAACAAGGAGTTGTTTTCATGTTTATAAACAACCCTGTTTCATTTTTTGTCATTTACACATTTTAATTTGTTGAGCGAAATAACCATTTTATTCCAATTTATTTATTTGTGAATCATTGTGTTTATTCATAAAATTATTGTTAGAAGAAATAGAACGTTTTTTTTTCTAGAAAAATTAATTTCTTTTTACTGTAATCACTGTTTTATTGATTTTAATTCATATATAATAGTAAATGTTGAATCTTATACACTAGTCGGTTAATCAGCATCTGAATATTAACTTGTCTACTACTCAAATAAAAGCTTTAGATATTCCTCACTTTGACAAATCAAAATCAGTATAGGTCATCATTACTAATCGTTTTCATTATCTCGTTATTGGCGTTTATGTTTTATAAAACAAGATAGTAGGTTCAAGTCTCAATGTAAATATCAGTACGAGAATACACTTACATCTAGATATCGAGTCCCAAATCGGAAGAAATGTTCTTCTTGAATTTTTACTGTTTATCATAATCTATCTTTTTCGAAAATCAGTAGTTTTAAACTATTGGAAAGTTGCCATTAATGTTGATTTTTCACTGTTTTGTTCACAGAGTTATCGAATACATAATCAAAATATGCGAAATAAACATTTTGAAAGAACTGACGTTGATATATTTAAGCTTTCGTTATTTTGAAGTGTACTTGGAGTTTTTATAATTTTCCGAATTAGGTTTGCTTTAATTTATACAAAGTGTTCTTTCGGCACGTCATTTTTTAAGAATAATGCGAAATGACTGGTTAGAATATTGATAAATATATGTAAAAGCTTTAGCACTAAGTTGTAGGCTTGAATCTCAGCTACTTTGTGGAGTAGCACTGTTTCTCATGCAAAAATTTATTTTAAAAGTCAAGTGTATCAAACTTCGCCTGAATAAATAAGTTGTCATATATATACCTTTCTATTGTGCCATAATAATAACAAACATAAAAGCTTTTTTCAGATGCAATGAAATACATTTTTTTAATGCAGATATTAATGCTAACTTTCGATTTTTCCCTAAATAATAAATTTCAAATTAAAATTATCCACTATAAATTTAATTTCTGGAGAGCACAAATTTTGTGGTTTAAAATTCAGTAGTAATAAGTAGTTTCGATCATTTGTTGAACATCATTAAATTTCATGAAACTATTCATTCGCCTGTTTTAGTTAAATAGTATTAGGTTTTGCGCACAAGATACTGTTCAAATATTGTGTTTGCGAATTATCAGTGTTAAGCTGAACCATTAACTTCTAACCGAAAAGCTTCTGTGTCTAGTTATCGGAAAAATACATTATGTTTTCATCTAGTGATTTGAACATGACCTTTAATGATATATATATATATATATATATATATATATATATATATATAAACGTTGAGCACTTGCACTAGATGTTAACGGAAAGAGCATACATACTGACTGATATAGTTTTAGTAAACTGTTTAATTTCTTATTGCTTCGGATTTTAATCTTTTCAACCACTTACCGCTTAAATTCATCCAATAATCTTAGTTGGTAGCATATTTATATAGAAGTTAAGACATCAGAACATTTCTGAATGATATTTTTCAATTATTGAGATGGTTATAGATTAGTTGTTCCTTATTACGATTGATTGTTCAACGTCATATTACAAATACTCTGCATAGTTTTATGTGTTGAGATTGTGATAGTCAATTTTCAATGGAGCAATCGACTTTTGAATGATTGTTTTATTCGTAAGGATAACCTTTTTTGACTCACGATGGTTTAGTGATGTATCCATCTTATAAATTATTGGAACATGAAAATAAGTACTTGGAGTAGTGTTTTCATGTTGCTTTTTTAAAAAACAAACCAGCCAGTTGGTTTGATACTCGTGCTGTTATTATATCTACAGTTGTGATATTGTGGATAGTGACTGGAAGCAAAAGAGTTATTATGGTCTTTAAAATAATGATTCGACACTGATTGAGTGTTTGCCATTCACTATACTGTTGCGACACGATAAAGATTATATGGAAACAAAGATAAATAGCCTTCATCAACTGGAATAGATAAATGATTGCAAGATATTTAGTCACCGTATGAGATCAAATATTATAATTCTGCTTTGATTTTACGGAAATTCAACATTTATATTGACTTTTTGTGTGACTTTTGTATTTGTAATGTATTACATCAAATTCGAATGTAAGATGAAACGTGTATGGACAATAATCTCTTTCACAACTTTGGTAATTAATTCTTAACGTTGATAGCAAGGTGAATACTGTTTCTACTGATATCAGATAATAAGTGACTCGCATAATTTTATTCTATATACGGCATAGTGGATATATAAGTTTTTGAACAAAATATGTGTGTACATGTGTTAGCATTTGCTTGATTTCAGTCAAATTACACTGAGATTTGTGGTACACTATGATCATTCTTGATTGTTTCTTTTAAAATGAATAAATATCTATCTTTACAACTTAATTGAATCCATAAACCATATCCTTCATTTGGAACTCCTGAAATGAATCAAAATTTCAAATTTTAAACACAAAGTGATAACAGCTGGAAGAGTACCAAAAAGTTGTTTCGTCACAGATTGGATTATTTTTCACAGTACATACCCACAGCCTCATACAAGATCAAATCTTTGATCTTCAGGTTATTTAGCAAGCATTACACTTAGTATTTCGAAGAGTTTTTATTTATTTATAAATAACTAGTCGATTCAATCTTTCATGTCAGGCGTTCGATCCCATTATTGTTACTGAAAAAATATTCAAAATGAAGATATGAAAAATTATTGTAATACCACAGTATATGATTTTTCACTTTGAAGATACTACTTTTGCCAAATGTTTTTCAATTCATAAACTTCTCTATATTCATATGTATTAAATCTCACAGTGGTTTTATTACGTAACTGATGTTTTCTTTTCCGTCAAATAGCTTTCATCTACATTTGTGAAATTCATTCTAAAGTACATTTGTATGGTATACCGAATACATTTTTTACAACAGTGATGATGATGTTATGCTATCGTGATCGGTCAATTCCAAAAGGTTTCATTATATTATTCATTTAATAATATGTTTCATCTGATAGATTTAAACATTGTGCAGTTATTCTATAATTCATTAAAAAAGTTTGCCAATATGTACAATGTTTACATACAATTGATTTTATCAGAGATCAATATTGAACAATTGAAAGAAATGATGAAATTATCTGTAAAGTATGTTTTAATTAATAATGACACTAACAATAATAATAATTATTATTATTATTGAAAATTATAGATGTAAACATTTCAAATCGATATCCAATAAATCAATTAATCATCGTTATGTAAGATAACTTCATTTATTGTTAATAAAATCCATTTTATATTTTATGATTATTTTAGATTTTTATTATATTACAAAAATATATGGATTGTTTTAAAGATGCTTTCTATTCTAATCATAATTTCAATATATTTTTAAAATATATCCTTTTTATATAAATTGATCACTTGAATAAAAATTAATTAATTTGTAAATATTATTGATTGTTTATATTCTTTGATTAACTGTTACTTGCTTACTTACTTATGCCTGTTACTCCTCGTGAAGGAGTATAGGCCGCTCACCAGCATTCTTCATCCAATCATGTCTTGGGCAATCCTTTCCAGCTCTTTTGAGTTGTTATTCATCCTTTTTATGTCTGCTTCTATTTCCCGACGTGATGTGTTCTTTGGCCTTTCTCTTTTCCGCTTCAATTCAGGATTCCAAGTTAAGGCTTGCCTCGTGATGTAGTTTGATGATTTGCGTAATGTATGTCATATCCATTTCCATCGTGTTTTCTTAATTTCCTCTTCAGTTGGAATCTGATTTGTTCTCTCCCACAAAAGGCTGTTGCTGATGGTATCCAGCCAATGGATGTTGAATATCTTGTGAAAACAACTATTTATAAATACTTGTACCTTCTTGATGATGGTTGTAGTAGTTCTCCAAGTTTCATCTCCGTACAATAGAACTGCCTTGACGTTCGTATTGAAGATTGTGACTTTGATATTGGTTGAAAGTTGTTTTGAGTTCTATATGTTCTTCAATTGTAGGAATGCTGCCCTTTAATTAATTAACTGTTGCTAACCTGATATTATAAAATCATATTTTTATTTTAATATACAATTTTATTGTTTGTTTTTTAACTTTTATTTGTACTGTTGAAAAATTATTTTGTTATCTGATAATCTATAGGTTATAAAGTTTTGATTAAAATTTTTGTGTTGAGATTCATCACCATTGAGAAACTATTAATAGAAAAGCCTCTATTAATTTAGTTTTATCGTCATAACGTATTTTTTTGGAACTTAAATGATTAATGTTTCTATGAGGTTCAACCTCAAGACAGATTTGTTTCTAATTGAATGTGTTACTTTTGAATTATATAACTTTAATCCAATAAATATCAGTCTCTAACCTTTGGTTATATATCATAAATTATTATACGAATGTGATGTTTTGCATTGTGTATAATAGTAACTAAAAGTTGAATCATCAAGTAGAACTCAGAAAATACCAAGTAAGTATCAATTACTTTCAGTCGTTTTCTTCTATCTAATTAAGTTTACTTTCAGAGAAATATATAATGTCCTAAATCATATATCATATGATTTTCCTGAAGTATATTCACTATTTCTTTAACATTCATTTATTTCTAATACATTTGAAGCATTTTATTAGCATGCAATATGGTTGCGGCATTCGACTATCCTCTATTTATCACTCATTTAAAGTACGTTGTTCAGTTTTAATTTTTGTACTTTGAAATCACTCTTTTTAATTTGTATCCTATACTATGGATGTATTAATTCGTGAAGATTTGCATTATCCTGTGGTTTGCATTCATGACTATTGTTGGAATATATATGCATCTTGGACAGATACTTCGATACTGCCTTTTTTACACATTTTAGTTTCGATAATGAAGCTATACAAGACTTTACTAGTAAAAATAATACCTGGTCAATAAATTATCAGTTATCTGAACTCAGTAGCTTAGTAGATAAAGCTTCGACATTTGAAGTAAATGGTACTTGTTTCCAGTCTTAGTCTACACAGCAGCACTGGTATGAAAGTATATCCAGCTGATAAGTCGTAAACTGGTTAAGACACTCGTCCTGGATTTCAGTACCATCCACTATCCAAATCAATCAAGATTTCTTTCATCTACTTTTCTTGATATATTGATATCCATGATCATTTGAAGCTTAAGAAAGAAAGGAAATATTATAAATCTAGTCAGTAAATAGGTTTGTTGGAAGAATTTTTCGATGATACATGTTGATATAGGCTTCCGTACACTGAGTTTCAAATGTTCACTGGTTAGTAATCATTTCTATAGACAAGTATTCTATTGTTGTTGTTTTTTTAAACATTTTAAACTAGCATGTTCAGTATATTGATCATTTCGGTTAGTTCTCCAATTTCATATTATACAATATCGTTTCTTATTTCTGCTTATTCCCTATAACACAGAGACTTTTATTAACAATTAATTCAATAAGTTTATTTTTGTTTCACTATGTGTATTTTTATTGGAAACCGTAATTTATTTCCATCATCATCATGTACTTTTTCAACTTCTATTCAATTACCTTGGAATGGTATAAACTCAGTATAATTTTTTAAATTAATTTTTCATTTTCAAATAATACACTTCTACACCAATTAAAACCCTCAAGTACTCCTCTTTACCTAATGGTTTAACATTGGTTTAATTAGTAATTCAATAAACAAATCTGTACTTAGTATTCTTTAGTTATAATATTAGTACACACCATTATTCAGCTAATTCGAGATGAAAGAAATAAAGTCTTTTATCTAATTTCCACTTTCATTAGACATAAATATTTGTTGTTAAATGATAAATAAAACCAATACGTTAATAAACTTTCGTTAATCAACTGTATATCGAAGATGTCATCATGATCATCAGACAAATCAAGAGTGAGAAAGCAACAGGACCTGATAATATACCAGCCGAAGCTCTAAAGTCAGACATTGAAGTAACTGCAAGCATGCTTCACGTTCTGTTCAGTAAGCTTTGGAAGGACTGGGAAGAAGGGCACTTCATCAAGAAAAAGAAAGGAGATCTGAGCAAATGTGAGAACTACAAAGACATCACACTACTGCCAGTACCAGGAGAAGTTTTAAGCATAGTGTTTCTGAACCGGATGAAATATTCAGTAGACGTTGAACTGCGAGATCAACAGACCGGATTCCGTAACGATCGGTTGTGCACAAACCAAATAGCGACATTACAGACCATCATTGAGCAATCACTATAGATTAACTCCCTTGACTATGTGAAGGCGTTTTACAGTGTGGACAAGAAAACCTTCTGGAAGCTTCTTCGACACTATAGTGTACCGGAGAAGATCGTCAACATCATCTGGAATTCATACGATGAAATACACTGCAAGGCCTTGTATGGAAGATAGCCGACAGACACATTCCAAATGAGGATCGGGGTCATACAAGGCTGCTTATTCTCCCCATTTCTTTTTCTTCTGATGGTTGGCTGGATTAAGAAGACTTCCACATCTCAAAGATGGTACGGAATACAATGGACAGCTTGGACTCAACTATTCGATTTGGACTTCGCAGATGATCTGGCTCTTCTATCCCATACACACGAACAAGTGCAGATGAAGACAACTAATGTAGCAGCAGCCTCTATGATGGTAGGTGTTAACATACAGAAAGGAACAACCAAAATCCTCAAATACAACACGGAGAACACCAACTCAATCACACTTGATGGAAAAACCCTGGAACATGCGGGATCTTTCACATATCTTGATAGCAGCATCATTGATGAACAAGGAGGATCGGATGCAGACGTAAAGGTGAAGGTCGGCAAAACAAGGGTCGCATTCATACAGTTGAAGAACATATGGAACTGAAAACAACTGTCTGCAAGCCAACATCAAAGTCAGAATCTTCAATACGAACGTCCAGATAGTCCTACTGTACGGAGCTGAAACGTGGAGAACTACTACGGCCATCATCAAGAAGGTACGAGTATTTATAAATAATTGTCTACACAAGATTCTATGACAAGATATAAATTTCATTTTGATTGAGTCAAATAAATCTTTTTACCTTTTTATAATTTATACATATATATATATTACAAACACGTTTACTTTTTCTGTCATTATTAGGTGCCTGATGATAGATCTTCAATATGGCGACCTTATTTTTATTCGCTTGTATACACTTTATTAAGTGGTTTAGTTGTCTTTTACTTGAAAGTAAAGCATAATATTTCTTTTTTGCTTAATCATAATCAATATTATTATTAAGAAATATTTTCGATGGTGTGAATTTAATACTGTTGTGCCGACAGTAGCTTATTTCACACATGAAAGTTGGAAAAAGTTGAGTACTGATTTTATCACTGGTAAGTAATAATTTTTTTCTAATTCATTTTGATTTACCTTTAAGTTAGTTAGTAATTAATATGTTACAGTAAACGATAAAAATTTTTAAGCAGTTTTCATCATGAATTAAGCTAATGAAAAGTAAAGAATGCTAGTTAATAATTTCGTTGTAATTGGAGACATCTTAACACAGTACATACATATCACTGCTAAGTATTAAACTCATTATATTTAAGTCTCTTGTGGTGATCTTATTGACAGTAATAAATAACTGAGTTGTAATTTACTAATTAATATTTCAATCAGTTCCTAGTGAAGCTTGACTGTTGTTTGAATACAACAATGATGACTGTATCACTTACTATGTTGTTAAACTTCATGAGATAATATTTTACTAATATACATATACTCATAATGAAAACCTTCTCCGCATTAATACAATCTTTGCAATTCACTCATCTACCTAAGTAAAGTATGATGATAATTTCATACAATTTTTGACGTTTATAAAATCAAATTTAAAAAAAACAAATATCATAGTAGAACAACATGAATTCATTGACTTCGTGGATTGTTCTCAGCTATTTACACATTAAAGCCTTATTACTATTTATTAAAACGTAACAAATGTCAGAATCTTCTAGGATAACTTCAGTTAATATATGGAAATAGAATAATATCTATTATCAATAATACTGAAGTAATATTACTTTTCAAACATCTTTTTATTTTTCGACTTAAATATATGAATATTCTAGAAGTTCATGGAAACAGAAAAATAAATTTCTCTCCAAACCAAACATTAATTATGTAATACGGACTAGTTAATTAAAGTTCAGGAGTAAGAATTCGTACATTAAAGTTTATGAAAAATATTCATTTATGTTTTGATGAATAAGATTAGAATTTTAGATTGTAAATAGCTGAGAAAAAAATCCAAGAATTGTATTGTATCAAAAAAGGAGAGAAATTTTCAAGTAAATTCTGATATTTTAATGGTTGAATTCATGAGTCAATCCAATCTAGATCACCATTAAAAACCTGGAAACACTGGACGGCGTTTTGCATCCTAG